ATACTTAACATCACCCAGGCAGTTCCTGCTGGCCCTGCGGGGCTACACCGTCATTCGTGCTTGCCATTTGCGACGTGGTTCAGTGACCCGCAGTTGGGCGCAGGATGTGTTTCCCCCAGGGAGGGTACACAACCCCGCCGTGCAGGCGCACCTGTGAGCACTCCGCCTCCATGCCACCCTGGGTGACAGCAACACGAACCCACGGCCGGTCACTTACAGGTACTATCTGACTCGGTCGTTGTCCCCTTCACGGCGCGCTAACAGCGACAGCACAGAGACTGGCAGCAACGACCTGCCAGTTCATCCCAGGCATTTCCTTGAGTCACCAGAAACAAGCTGCTGAGCTGCCTCCAGGGCCAGCAAGGCAGTGCTCACAGCAGGACTCAGACGGCCCACCGCTGCAGCGGGAAGTGGCCTCCACCTCAGCCAGCCCCAGCGGCCTCTGTCACTTCTAGAATGTAGGTTGTATCTTTATTGAAGTCAGCATTTTTGAAAGATATACTGAAAATTTCTTTACAATGGAGGGACCAGCAGTTGGTGTAGTGGCTATATCACTGGATTCCCACGTAGTTGACCACAGTTTGAGTCCTGGACCCGGTGGCTTAAATTCACGCTGGGTGCGTGTGCATGTGTGCCCAAGATCCTGAGAGGAGAATGGAGAAGGAATTGTGGTAGGGCTATCCCCCCGGGGGGGGGGTGATTTCTCGCTTTCTGTCTGTCTTTCTGGTAAGCATAACTATAGCAAAAACTTCTCCAAAAAAAAAGAAAAAAATGTAACAATGGGAAGTACGGGTCCCCTGGACTCCAATCCATGGCAGCAGCCCCTAAAGCACTCACCTCCAGCTCTTGGGCTGCTGCTTCTCCCAGTGGGCATTAGTTCGTGTATTCACTTATTTTTAGGAGATTTTGGCTGTAAGGCACGTGGCCTCATAGTGGGGCGGGGAGGGGAGAGACAGGGAGATAGAAAGTGAGAAATTGCCTCTCCAGGGGGATGACCACATCACAATCCCTTCTCCATTTTCCTCTCAGGGTCTTGGGCGTGGGCACACACATGGCCGGGGGACACAGAGATTCTCTTTATAAACAGCCAATGGAAGGCCAGGAAATAGCACGACAGGCAAATCGCCGGCCAGAGGGGCCACTCCGTTGGTGTGAGGGGCATTTGGCAGCCGTCTCTGTGGACACGAACGTGCGCCCCTGCCTCTCCCCGGCCTCTCCCCTGCCGCGGCCGCCTGTGATCCAAGTACCTCTGGGGCAGCTCACCAGGGCCGGCCCACCACACATTCGCCATCTCGTTCTGTTCCCCAGGCCTTCCTGGAGTCGCCTCCTCACCGCTCTCCCTTGCAACTCCACGTGGTTTCTTCCCTGCTGCGAGCAGTCAGAACTGGTCCTAGCCTGGCCAGCTAGGTGCCACGGGGATGAAGGCCCCGGATCCCGAGGGCTGGTCACGTGGTTAAGTCCCAGACCAACAGCTCGAAGAACATGCCAGGCCCGGTGCACAGGCACTCAAAATCCCGAGGATGGAGAAGGGGCAGCAGCGTGGCCATCCCCCTTGCAGGGTGACCTTGCTTTCTGTCTCTCTGTCTCTCCAGTGAGCATATACGTCCTACAGCAAAACGTAGAAAAAAACCCACCTTTACTCCTTACCCTTAATATTGGCTTTTGCTCTTGTGCTTCCTCCCACTTTGGGTTTAACTAACTGCTCATCTTTTTCCAGTTTTAGGTAGAAACTGCTTCCCAGATCGTATACAGACTCTGACCTCCGCCTGGTAAAGGAAGACCCTCTGGAAGGTGTGTCTGGGACGCACCAAGACCCACCCATCCCTCTCGGCGACAAGTCCCACGCGCATCTGCAGTGTTTTAAGAATGCCAGTGAGCAATGGGGTTTATGCCTAAAGTCAGACTCGGGTTCATGTGTAGGTTTGTGTCAGCTGTGCTAGCTATTGGATATATTTAGACTAATTAAGTTCATTGGCAGATCAATTGAATGGGGTTGGGGGAAGGCATGGAAGGCAACGGTGGATGCCAGGGACAATGTGGGAGGAGGATGGGACATAGCAGAGGGTGGGGGATGGGGAATCAAGGATGGCAAAACAAAAGGCAAGGTATGCAGGACCTAAGAATTGGAAAATTATTTGCTGAGAACATGTATGTTGATGTGCTTGATTGAGCCAATGCACAGTGTATTTTGGATGGAAAATTCATTTGTGTGTTGTGATGGTGTATAGTGAATTAATGTAGAGAATGAATAAATTAAAAAAAAAATGCCAGTGAGGTTAAGGTCGCCTGCTGTCACTCCGATTTTCTCTAGCCTTACTGGCTCCCTGCCCTCTCCCGATTCTTTGCTATATGGCATGTCTATTCTTTTTGTTTTTGCTATATGTAAAGGTTTCATCAGACGTTAGACACATAAACACAATGATTTCTTCCCAATACACCTTCTTCCTCAACCTCTCTGAATGCTTTTTCTTTTTCACGTTTTTGCTATGGGGCCCGTGTGCTTCATAAAGAGAGAAATCAGCCTCCCCGGGAAACAGCCAGGCGGCAGTCCCTTCTCCATCCTCTCAGGACTGTGAGCATGCATCCACATGCACCCAGTGTCTTTTTGGCCTCTGGTTGGCCGTGTGGGATCAGCGGGCTTAATCACACCACCTGCTGGCCCCGAAATGCCTTTTTTAAAGAATTATTTGGGGGACGAGCAGTTAGTGTAATGGCTATGTTGCTGGACTCCCACATAGTTGACCGCGGTTCACGTCCTGAACCCGGTGGCTTAAAACCCACGCCGGGTGCGTGTGCGTGCGTGCCCAAGATCCCGAGAGAATGGAGAAGGGACTGCGGCGTGACCATCCCCTCTGGGGGGAGATTTCTCGCTTTCTGTCTCTATGTCTCTGTCTGGCGAGCCCACGTGCTCTATAGTAAAAACCTCTTTAAAAAAAAAAAAAAAAAAAAAGGATTATTTTATTTGGGGCCAGCAGTAATGGCTATGTTCACTGGACTCCCACGCAGTTGACCACGGTTCAAGTCCTGGATCCAGCGGCTTAAACTCATGCTGGGCATGTGTGCGTGCGTGCCCAAGATCCCAAGTGGAGAATGGAAAAGGGATCGCGGTGTGAGCATATCCCCTGGAGGGTGATTTCTCGCTTACTCTCTCTCTCTCTGGCAAGCGCCTGCGCCCTATAGCAAAATTCTCTCAAAAAGAAAACAACAACAACAAAAAGAATTCTATTTAACTTTAATTTGATCAGAAGACAGAATGAACAAGTGAGCGAGAGAGGGAAAGCGAGAAAGCAAGCCACCAGGTTTGGAACTCAAACCACGGTCAGCCATGTGGGAGTCCAGTGCCCTTAACCACACCACCTGCCAGCCCCTGAAATGCTTTTAAATATGGCAATATTCCTATACTACTGTCTATTTTTGTCTGCTCTTAATTTTGCAACCTTAACATGATTCACGTTTGCCTGGTATTCTGCCCATCCTCGCACTTTCACGCCATTTGTGTGTTTTCAGTGTCTTCTGGTAATCCAGATGAACTCTGTAAGTGGAGGCTCCAGTGCAAGTACATCTAAGTAAGTAAGTAGTACAATTAGGCTCGGGGCACGTCCTTGGCTTGTTCCTGCCCCAGAGGAAAAGCAATCTTGCGCTTTTCTTCTACACTCACTTGTTCTTGTCTTTTGTGTTCTTCCCGTGTTGGCTCTTCTATTACTTCTTCCCTGCCTGCCTTTGGTTCACCAAGTATTTTCCAGGGTCCATTCTGATTCCTCAGGTGGCTCTAGTTATTGATTTGGATTACTTTTTACTGGTTGCTCTAGGGATTGTAATATGCAACTCTATTACAATCTACTTACTACTAATTCATGTTAAAATTAACAATCTTGTGTGACCAGCGGGTGGTGTGGTGGTTAAGGTGCTGGACACTGCCACATGGCTGACCACAGTTCGAGTCCTGGACCTGGTGGCTTGCTTTCTCACTTTCCCTCTCTCTCCTTCTCTGTGTCAAATTAAAGTTAATGAATAAATAAAATTAAGTAATCCTTAAAAAGAAAATTAACAATCTATAAAAAGACAGTTCAATTTACCCACATCCTCTATAAGACAATTCTGGATAGCAGACAGGATCTATAGATGATTAAAACTTAGGTGGCAGGGAACCAGCAGTTAGCGTAATGGTTATGTTGCTGGATTCCCACGTAGTCGACTGCGGTTTGTGTCCTGGACCCGGTGGCTTAAAACTCACGCCGGGCGCGTGTGTGTGCGTGCGTGCCCAAGATCCCGAGAGGAGCATGGAGGAGAAGGGATTGCGGCATGACCATCCCCCCTGGGGGGTGATTTTTCGCTTTCTGTCTCTATGTCTCTGTCTGGCGAGCGCACACGCCCAATAGCGAAAACCTCTCAAAAAAAAAAAAAATACTTAGGTGGCAGGGGACCAGCAAATTGGCATAATGGCTATATCTCTGGGCTCCCACGTAGTCAACCGCAGTTCAAGTTCCAGACCCAGTGGTTTAAACTCAGACCAGACACGTGTGTGTGCATACCCAAGATCCCAAGAGGAGAATGGAGAAGGGAATGTGGCATGGCCATCCCCCCAGGGGGTGATTTCTCGCTTTCTGTCTCTCTGTCTCTCTTCGTCTTTCTGGCGAGCACACGCGCTCTATAGCAAAAACCTCTCCAAAAAGAGGGGCAGAAAGACCTAAAGTCATACAGGAAGGAGAAGGCAAGAGCTGCACACACCTGGAAAACCAATAACCCTGCTGGCCCACGCTGGTGAGTCCTGATAAAACATGGAGAAGTGCACATTTAGTAAAAACTGGCTAAGTGCTTACGGTGTGCAGGAATTCACACAAGTGACGGTATCTGTCCCTCAGTAGCTATGCCAAGTTTGTGAGAGTTCTTCCAAACAGATCGACAGATTTATGTTAAAGACAACATGTGTATTGAAAGTAGCAATTTTATTTGAGTTAAAATTATTTACAAAAACCCAAAGACATACTTCATGAAACTGGTACAAACTATTTTTTCCTGCCGTTGGCTTTTGCTCCAAAGATCACAGCTGAGAAATACTGTATAAAATAAAAATAGGATTGGATTCAGAAAAGTACTCTACTGTTCTAATTTCCAACTGGTAGTATTTACAGAAATATTTACAATGGAAAAAAGGTTACTTTAAAACTTTAGTTAATTTGCAAGTCAGCCTCAAGTACCCTAAAACGCAGAGTCCTCCGAGGGATAAAAACACACAATGCACTGCAGGTGGTGAGGTGATGTCCCCCACTCCACCCCCACCAAAACTTGCATCTCTATCAGTGCTTGACAATTAGTTATTACTTAAAATAAAACAAAACAAAAAATACTGCTAAACACCGAGGTAAATCAATCCTCAAATGATTACCAGTGTAACAGAAAAACAGTTCGCCCTGATTGTTCTCATCCACATGTTTTATAATATTCCTTACCATCTGCCACAAGTCAATTTTACCAAAAATCTGTTCCGCTTCCTAAATCCAATGATTAATAAATATCAATGTATTTTAAAATAATTAAACAAAAGATATCTAACTAATTCAATTTTATGGATATCATGTACTGATATGCTCATAAAATAGTCTGCAAAGCGAGCTTTCCATCAGGGCAAACAAGACCTCGCTCTCCCCACGTCCCACTGGCACACTGCTCTTCAATGGCGAGGGGGGCTGGGGCGGGGAGGAGGAAGAAGACGACAACGTGCCTGGCATCAGTTACTTCCTCAAAGATTTCCAACAATCTGCATTATCAAAAATAGGAAGACAAGAGAAGGCAGCCACTGCATTGCCACATGACAGCTGGCACTGGTACAAGAGCCCGATTTGTCACTTTATACAGGGAGATAACTGTGTCTAACCAGGTAAAAGTTAGACTTATAGCTATATTCCCCAATACACACCAAACTAATATCATTATGGCTTCAAGTTTTACAAATCCAATGAAGAAACATGATGCAAGTACCTGAAAGGTATTTAAGTACTAATGAGAGAGGTGTCTGTAAGGCCTGTATTCAGGCCCAATCAATACAAAAACCAAATGTCTGTCATCAGTCGTCTGAACATTAATACCAAAAAAAAAACCCCAAAAAAATCCTGCAATGTGGTGAAATTAAAGTCTATAAAATGTGTCTTGTGTGTTTCATAACTATTTTCCAAACAACTGTTCTATTAATAAAGAATCTGTATGGAAAAAAAAAAGGGTCTTCTCTAAACCAGCAGTTTAAGGCTTTGCGCTTGTGCGATTGATCCATCCTGTCACTCTACAGAAGGACACACACGCGATCTGGAACATGAGTCCACACTGGTGCTTGAGGTTCCGTGTACTTATTGTACTGAGCATTAGAAACTACATCGAAGAGCCCGCCCTCAAAATGCAGTGTTTCGAGAACCGCGCTGGCATTACGTGTAAACTACCCTGGGCCTGTCTATTTTGCTGAACCCTTTAACAGGGCACCTCTTCTAGAATACCCCTTCACACTGTCACTTGTTTTCTTGCATCTATAATAGCTATGACATGTTACAGCATGGTATTGAACATGGTCATGGTCTCAAAAGTGAAAAATAGTTCAATAACCCAAACCTAATCAAGAATAAAAAAATATACTATTAATCCCTTGTGTCTTTGGATTCCATCTAATTTTAAATATAGACAGTAGTTCAGGGAACAACCACCAAAAAAATTCACAAAATTATTAAAAGCTTTATTTACGATTGGAATCATTCAACAAAAAAAGCCAAAGCAAAGGAGCCTGGAAAGGAGCTAGCCGCTGCCTCGAAGTGCTCAGGAGCTGCGTTGCCCTGCCCTGCCCTGCCCTGCCCTGCCCGGCCGGTGTGGACAGTGGCTCAGCACACACGGTCACACTGACAGCAGCATGAGACTCCCCGAGCCATGCCCGGAGTGGAGCCGCGGCCGGGGAGGGCAGAGACCCGCCGCAGTGAGTGCACTTAAGCACCACACGGCTGGGCAGCTGAGCCTTCCCCTCCCTTTTGATAGCTGCAGATTGATGTGGTAACTGTCAGAGCAAATGCAGGACGCACGACGAAGGACCTGGGTGGTCTCGGAAACCCAAACACGCACGACATGGTGGCTGTCCTCCACGACTTCGTTCCCGACCGCTCCGTGTCCAAGGGCAGCTCCAGCATCACCCAGCCCTGAAGCACAGGCAGAGCTAGCAGTGCTCCAAGTACTCGATCACTCTGGAGATCGACTTCTGGCCCGTCGTTCCAACGGCACACTGCGGGAGGCAGATGAGCAGCTGTTAACACCCAGCGAACGTTACCAAGTGGTGAATCCAGGCACGACTTCTCTACACCCTTAAACTGAACACTACAAACGAAGCTCAGAGATTGCACTGTGACTGCGATGACATAGTATTTGACCCAAATATGTGCTAACGATCATCAAGAAATAGAAAGCAATGACCAGAATGACAAAAAACCACTTTTCTCCACTCGCTGTGCCACTTTCTCCCCTGCTGTCAATGTATCACACGTGAATTTCAAACCACGTACGCTACAATAAAGCTACTCACGGTAAGGTTCATGAAGCTCAGGAACTTTTTGAGCATCTCTGTCATTATTGAGAAGTCCCCTTCTGGCAAATACTCCCGCACAGTGGTCACATTGATCTGAGGAACCAGACGGATTATCATTCTAAATAGCTTATTTTTCACATCCTTGGTTTTTCTTTTTAAAAAAAACTACATTGCCTGGGACCAGCAGATGGCAAAGGGGTATGTCACTTAACTCCCATATGGCCAACCACAGTTTGAGTCCCAGACCGGGTTGGCCTGAAAAGCACGCCAGGTGCTCAGAACCGGCAGATGGCGCAATGGTTACATCACTGGACTCCCACATAGTCATCTGCAGTTCAAATCCTGGATCCAGTGGCTTAAACTCATGCTGGGCACATGTGTGCAAGTGCCCAAAATTCCAAGAACAGAAGGAGGAAGGTAATGTGGCCTGGCCGTCCCCACTGAGGGATGATTTCTCACTGTCTCTCCAGGGAGTGCACACGCCCTATAACAAAAAATCTCTTAAAATAGGAAAAAAAAAAAAAAAAGAAAATTATGCCAGATGCTTGTGCGTGCCTGCCCAAGATCCCAGGATAAGAGAGGAGGAGAAGGGACTATGGTGTGGCTCTCTCTCCTGGGGGTGACTTCTTTCTCTCTCATTGTGTCTGTCTCTCTCTCTCTCTGGTGCATGCACATACCCTAAGGAAAAAAGAACTTAAAAAAAAAAAAAACAAATAAAAATCTCTGCCTAATTCTGAAAGACACATCAGTTCCAGAAGAGCCACAAAGATCAACAATGCACTTTTTTATTGTCAGAGGGCAAAAGAACTTATGAGAGAGGAAGAGAGAGAGGAAGAGAGAGAGAAAGAGAGAGAGAGCGAGCACCCCTAGTGAAATACGGCCAGGCAACAGTCCTTCCCCTCCATCTCTCCATCTGGTTGGGATTTTGCACACAGGCACATGCACCTGCGTTTTTCAAGTCACCGGGTAAGAATTCACACCGTGGCCCCTCGTAGGAACCGGCTCACTTACCACTAGACCATGGGGCTGGCCCTCAACAAATCGCTTTTAAAAAAATGAAAACCAATACATTTTATTCCAAACCTTACTTTACTCAAGCCTACAAGTGGAAGAAATACATGTCTAGTACGTTTTAAAAAAAGAATGACTTTAAATGAACTATTGCAAACATTAGGTGTTTCACTGCCATTTTTCTTCCCCAGGGAAGCAATTTAAAAAACTGTTTTAATAATTCTATAACCAACCAGAAGCCATACAGCGGACATAAATGGGGAAAAAGGTAAAGACATAAATAAATGAACTAGGTAACAATATGAAGCTGTCTCCTTGGACCTTCTGAAAACACAGCCAACTGTTTACTTACTGGACTTTCCTGGCAGAGACAGCCGAGGAGCAGTGCCGTGTAGGAGGCCACAATGCAGTCCTCCATGTGCTTGCCAGCATGCTGAAGGGCTGGGGGCATGAGCAATTGACAGCGTGTTAGACAGCCTCTACTCCATGCTGTATCTTTTCAACTGATAAACAGCAACAAATAGTGCTCCTACAGCGAATATTCACGATTTAACACAAAATAACTCAAAATGAAATAAGAGCCCAAATAGGAGAGCTAAAACCACAAGCCTCTTAGTTAAAACATGTGTGTTGCAAAGGATATCAGGAATAAAGTGAAAAGATAACCCACAGAACAGAATATATTTGAAAATCATTTATCTGATAAGGGTCAAGACCCAGAATATAAAAAGAAGTCTTAAAACTAACAACAAAAAGACAAACAATCCAGTTAAAAACAGGGCAAAGAGCTTGAACAGACATTTCTTAGAAGATGTTCCAGAGGCCAATAAGCACATCAATATGCTCGATCATTAGTCACCAGGACCTGGGTATCAAACCGCAATGGGAAGACTTCACACTCACGAAGATGACTAAAAATTTTTAAAAGATAAATAATTTGTAAGGACATGGAATTTTCACACAGTGCTGTAGGAATTCAAGCCACACTGAAAAACAGCTTGGCTTTTCCTTAAAATGGTAAACATGAGTTAATGTATAACCAAATGATTCCACTCCTTGGTATACACCCAAGAGAAATGAAAACGTGTCTCCAAAATAACCTGCAGACAACGGTCCCGGCAGCATTACTCATGACAGCTGAAACATGGAAACAACTCCAATGTTCCAATGGACAAATGGATACGCGAAATGACAATAAAACGGACATTGCTGGGTTATAATAAGGAATTATTCGGCACTAATACATGCTACGCATCATGGCTAAATCTTGAAAACATTCTGCTGATTGACAGAAGCTCGTCACATGGGCTGGAGGGAGGGAACCGTGGAATAAACAGACTCTATGGAGGGTGTGCTTCTCTGCGCACGCCCCCTTGAATTCTACCATGAATAATGAAAACCAGCCAACCAACCAACTCCAAGACCAGGAGATGGTATAATGGTTATGTTGCTGGACTCCCACATGGCCAATTATGGTTCAAGTCCCGGACCCAGAGGCTTGAAACTCACCCCAGGCGTGTGTACACATGTGGAGGAGAAGAGATTGCGGAATGGCCATTTGGGGGGAGGCGGTGCATTTGGGGGGAGGCGGTGATTTTTCCCTTTGTTTCTTTCTGCCTCTACAGCAAACACATACGCCCTACAGCAAAAATCTCTCTAAAAATAAACCCATTGAAAAAGCCACATATTGAGTGGTTCCTTTCAAATAAAATATCTGGAATAGGCAAATCTATAGACGAAAAGTAGATTAGTGATTGCCAGTGGCTATGGGAAGATGGGGATGATGGCTGCTAATGGGCACAGGGCTCCTTTAGGGGTGAGAGGGAGTGCTCAGAACTACACAGGGACGGTTTCACAACTTTGTGAATATTCTAAAAGCTCAAAAATTATTCATTCTAAAAAGGTGAATTTTACATCACGTGATTATATATATCTCAATAAAGCTGTTATTTTAAAAAGATATCTAAACAACAAAAATCACTATGTAAAACAAGACCATCACAAATGGACAAAAAGGCACAGAAACACATTAGAGGTTCAGAACCAATGGCAGCAGATTGGGGAGGAGAGGGTGTAACACAGAGCCCAGGTTCATTCTAGGTTAAGTGAAGCTAAACTACCAGGTTGTGGGAAAGGTATACTGTAGTCTTCTATGGAAACATGTGTCATGACTTTCCCGACGAGCCAACAGAACTGGCACTGCATGACTTGGTGACGTGAGATTAGAGCCGTACTACAGACTCGGTATACGCGTAAAGCAGGCGTTATAACCCCTGACAACAGCAACCCGCACTAAACGCTTACTACTCAGAGATCAGCTCCACCATGTTTCCCCTGCACCTGCCACCCAGTGCTCGTCTTTAGGAACTATTATTATAATTTATGACAACAGATCTCAGTTTAGAGTAAGGCTGATAAAAGAATCTCAAAAACCCAAACCTAAAAAGAGCAGTATGTTCAGCTGCTTCTCTTCACAGGTGAGTAAAAGAAAGGAGGAACCAGAAAGAAAATGGAACTTAGGAGGCCACATCTTCCCCATCACTACCAGCCTCCTGCCGGCCATGACCTTCCCCATTGCTGGGGAAGAATATTCGAGCATTAAAGCTTGCCTGGACTGACGAGAGAGGCCTTAAAGTAACAGCAAGACGATGACAATTCTGAATTAAAATATATTTTGAGGGGCTAGCAGGTGGGGGGGTGGTTAAAGGCACTGGACTCCCACATGGCCAACAGCAGTTCAAATCCTAGACTTGGCAGCTTGGTTTCTCACTTTCCTTCTCTATCACTCTGGTCAAATTTAAATAAATAAATTTACGTAACTTTATTTATTTATTTAAATAATTTTTTAAAATCACATAAAAAACACCCTTTTTTATGAAAAACAAACAAACAAATAAATAAAACTAATCAAAACCAAACCTCATTTTCAAGTTGAATACATCACTTGAAATAGACACACCTTTGTTAAGGTCAAGCTCTTCATCGTCCTCCTCCTTCTTCTGTCTGTCATCTGTGCCATCAGTCTTTTCGGCTGACACCCACTGTATTTCCCCACTCGTTTCTTGCCACTCCCCACTCTTGTCGTGCTGAGTGGTGGGAGCATCTTTGATCAATTCATCCGTTTTACTTTCTGCCAACTGAGCAGCTCTTTCTCGCTCAAGAAATAGCTGATAAAAATTGTTTTTGAACATCATTAAAAAGAGAGCACCAACCAACACATAAATACAAAGTTCTGACATTGCAAATGCCACTAAGTCTAAAAATATATATATATATATATATATATATGTAAAAGGGTGTATACAAATGAAAGTTAAAAAAATATCAAGTCAATTGTTTAAAAAGCAGCTAAGAAAAGCAGAGGAGCTTTATTTGTGTCAATAACCAGAACTACGCAATTTGAAAACTGCTAGATTAAGATCAGTTTTATCAACAGTATAAAGAATATAAATCTGAACATGAATTTCTCTTTTTTTGGAGAGGTTTTTGCTATAGAGTGCATGCGCTTGCCAGAAAGTGAGAAATCAGCCCCCAGGGGGATGGCCATGCTGCAATCCCTTCTCCTCCATTCTTCTCTTGCGATCTTGGCCATGCGCACACACACCCGGCATGAGTTTTAAGCCACCAGGTCCAGGACTTGAACCGCAATGGACTACATACGTGGGAGTCCAGCGATACAGCCATTACACTAACTGCTGGTCCCTGAACATGAATTTTTCTACCATGTCACTGAGTATTAAAAATAAGAGCCATTTGATATTTAAAACTGATATACGAAATGGCATAAGTTCCTGCAGTAACAGAAGCCACTACACTACTCAAAGGTGTTACGATCTAGAACAGATGATTTATCTATAGATACAACAGCCTGAACACACCTCAAGAGCATATGCTGGGATCAGCAGGTGGTGCAGCAGTTACGCTGCTGGACTCTCAGATAGCAGACCACAGTTTGAGTCTGGGACCCAGTGGCCTGAAAATCATGCTAGGGACCTGTGCAAGCGTACCTGCACAAGATCTTGGGAGGAGAATGAAGGAGAAGGGATTATAGCATGTCCATCTCCCAGAGGGTGATTTCTCACTTTCTTGCCCACTGTCCCTGTCTCTCTCTGGTGAGCACATCCACCCTAAGGCAAAAATGTCTTTAAAAAAAAAAAAAAAATCTAATCTAAAAAGGAAACATAACTAGGGACCAGCAGTTAGCGTACTGGCTATGTCCCATGTAGTCAACCATGGTTCGAGTTCAGACCCGGAGGCTTAAAACTCATGACCAGCATGTGTGCATGCATGCTCAAGATCCCGAGAAGAGAATGGAGGAGAGGGGATTGCAATGTGGCCATCCCCCCCTGGGGAGGGTATGTGATTTCTTGCTTCCTGTCTCTCTGTCTCTTTCTGGCGAGCGCACGTGCCCTTATAGCAAAAACCTCTCAAAAAGAAAAAGAAAAAAGGTAACGTAACTATAGGATTTAGTGTATTTAACATTCCTAATTATATGTTCAAAAGTTAATAGGGAGATGGAGACCGTACTAGTGATCATTAGGAGAGGAGGACAGGAGGGCTGGATATGAGCAACCTAAGAGTTCTGCTGCGCTGGCTTTACCCTGTAACGCAGTAGTGAGTACACACTTCTGCACACATACATCCCACACACTCACAGAGCAGGCTGACTGGAGAGACAGAACAGTACAAAGTCTAGTTCAGAGCTAGCACACTAAGAGTAATTCCTCGGTTTTGATGTTCTCTACGGTTATTTAAAATGTCACTACTAGAGGAAGCTGCATAAAGGGCACGTGGGATCCTTTACACTACTTTTGTAACTTCCCCTACATCTATCATCACTACCAAGTAAAAAGTTCAGGGGTCAGACAGTGGGTCTATGAGGCTGCTACATGGGAAGGTTCCAGGTCAGAGTTCAGACTCTGCTGAATATGCCAGATAAGCACATTTCCATGATCCAGGGGCTAGCTGAGGCCACTAAGACCCTGTTGCGTGGGGGGGGAGAGGGGGGGTCACAGGTGGCATAGTGGTCAAGGTGCTGGACTCCAACATGGATGACTGCAATTTGAGTTCCTGATCTGACAGCTTGAAACTCATATTGGACGTGTGTGCATATGTGCCCAAAGTGAAAGAGTAGGGATTGTGGTGTGGCTGTCCCCCCAGGAATTTTTCTCTCTCTTCAGCGAGTACATGTGCCCTACAGTAAAACAAAACAAAAAACAAGACAAAAACTCTGGGCAGGAGGGAAGATCCTCTTGGGGATGATGACTCTGTCTCTCTCATGGGAAGAAATAAACTTTATAAAACATAAATTAAAAAGAAATCTTAAAAACAAACAAACAAAACAAAAACAAACTATATAGGAAAGAAAAGCCTGGCCAGAAAACAAATGGCTAATTGGGATCTATAAAAAAGTGGGGGAAGGGACCAGCAGTTGGTATAACGGCTACATCACTGGACTCCCATGTAGTCGACCACGGTTTGAGTCCCGGACCCAGTGGCTTAAACTCACACCAGGTGCGTGTGCATGTATGCCCAAGATCCTGAGAGGAGAACGAACTGCAGCATGGCCATCTCCCTTGGGGAGTGATTTCTCACTTTCTGTTTCTCTGGCTAGCACATGCACCCTATAGCAAAAACCTCTCCAAAAAAAAAAAGTGGGGAATTTATCAAATATTTTACAATGATTTCAGCATTAAATAAGTCCCTAAGTGATACCTGCTGACTAAAAAGAGTTTACAATTACCAATTACTGTTAGTAATGATTACTATTACTGTTGACTGACAAGCAACACCCCAATTTCTCACTGGTTTCACATGCAACTATTTTCAATTGCTGGGGAGGACAGGTGGCAGGGTGGTTAAGGCACTAGACTCCCACATGGCTGACTGCGGTTGGAGTCCCAGACCTGGTGACTTGCTTTCTCACTTTCTGTCTGGTGGACACATATGCTCTATAGCAAACTAAACTAAAATAATGAGTTAAAATTAAAAAAAAAAAAAAAAGGTATGTGTGTTTGCCAGAGGCAGACGGCAGAGAGAGAGAGAGAAAGCACTACCCGGTGGGGCGTGGTCACACCGTAATTCCTTTCTCTTCCACGTCTCCGAGACACCAGGATTCTCAGCATGCACACGCAAGCGCCCTGTGTGCCTTTCAAGCTAAGGTTGGGATTCTATCACGGTTGGAATATTCCATGTGGAATCTGGCTCCCTTAAAAGCTTAACCACTGGGATATGGGACTGGCTTTCTACTTTTAATCAACTGTACCTTGTCTCTGCTTTTTGCTAACAGTGCTAAGGCGTGATTACAACGGAATGCATGCTAAGCTGGTGCACCTCTTAATGGTTCTACAGAAATCTGTACGTTTTTCATTGTTTAGAATGTTTTAGGGGGCCAAAGAGAGGAGGAGTGGGAAAATGCAACGCCGTACAAGGTAATTCCAGTGGGAAGGTTCCCAGCTGAAGTCCAGAGACCTTTGCGAGCACAGGAAGCATGCTTGTACTCAAGATCCCGGGGCTCACTGAGGGTGGATCGTGGCACTGGGACCACGCTGGGATTCCTCTGTCTCTTATGAAATAAATAAAATTTAAAAGAAAGAAAAAAGAGCTGTTTTAAAATAAAATGAAGTTTCATGTGAGAAACCAAGAGCAATATTAAGAGTTAGTCAAGTGTAAAAGATATTCCTTCCCTACCTTAGCAAAGACATGCTTTAGGAGTTCTACACAGTGAAAGAGGCAAAAAGATGCACTGCATACATTAGACAAATGCAACAAACTGCAGGTCACCTACCTGCACCAAAGCATGAACGGCATGAACAGGCCCAGCGATCCTTAAACTATCATCTCTCTCTCCGCCGTAGAAGGAAGAGTCGAAAGAACACGACGTCTCCATGTTGACGAGACAATGCCGATTCCGAGCACTATACTCTACTAGATTGATCAGTAAACCTAAACCCTGCAAAAATTTGAAAAGGTACATGTATTATCACAGCTGAGAACTATTTAGAAAGTGAAAAGAATACATTTAATTTTGATAGGCAGCTAAAAATCAGTCTTTAACATCTGTAAAATGTAAAATGTTTAAAACCCAAAATACCATTCCTCCCAAAGAATGATCCCTTTTAGTAATTTTTTTTAATTTCTAAGAATTATTTATTTATTTAATTCCATTCGATATCCTTTTTAAAACTTGATTAGAGAGAGAGAGAAAGAAAGGAAAAGTGAGAAAGCAAGCCACCAGGTCCAGGACTCGAACCGTGGTCAGCCATGTTGGAATCCAGAGCCTTTAACCACCACATCACCTGCCAGCTCCAATTCCTTCAGACTGTAATCACCACTTTTTAGTTTTCACACTTTACATAATGGCCCTTCATGACTGTCCTCTGTACAGTAAGAGGTACATTCAGAAGGAATTCATCAGAACATCCCATAATATATTGCACCAGTGGTTCTTGAACTCGAGTTAGGAGGAAGCTTTCCACCGTCTTACAAGATAAAAAAGCACTCATTTCCGAAACACCAGCACTCATCCAATCTCACCAGCACGCGAATGTCGAATCTCTGCTCCTGAGGTAGGTACTTGGGAACCTGAAGCACACAGTCCAAGGCTGTGCCTATGAGGCCGTCCTGCTCTCCCGTTTTCGTGCTGCCCCACTCTGCAATAAGAGACAGAACATTGCCACTGCGCCTCAGGACACAACAGCCAGTGCTTATTAACGAGGGTACCCACTAGGCACTGACTAGCTATTTCTGTATTCAAATACATGGTTGTATTTCCAGGCCAAGCTCCTGGGCTGACTCTACAATTAGCCACTCTTAGAAGCAGTTCAAACCTACAATGAAGGAGTCAATTATTATACATTGTGGCAGCTAAAGAAGTTGCTACATCAAGAAAAGGAGAAATAAACAGACTTAATTTTACATGTAATACATGATCTTTCAATGAGAAAATAAAAGAGCATGACTTGCCATTATCATTAGTCAGATTGAGCAACACCCCAATGACGGCCCTCATGCAGTCCTCCACTGCTTTGCCCACGTGGTTAGCCACACTCTGCGGAGGCACAGGCCTACTGTCAGCCAAGCATATGCTGTTCTCCGCGCGGTTATACTGCCGGATCAGTTCTTCACAGTGCTGCAACGCTCTTCAGGGAAAACAAAGTGCAGACTATTACAGCACGTACAAAGTTACACAATGAATTTCTACTTACTCGGTCCTAAGTACTATCAAATGGTATTTTTCTGTATTACAGAAGTCACCAGGTATTAACTATTGAACCGTGAATAGGTATGCCTGACACATCACGCCAGGCATTAAATTTTTATTCTGGAAAAGCTTGTTAACTAAAAAAAATTCCCTAGTAAAAGTTAAAAACTCACTGTAGAATTTTACATCTGCACTACCTGTATTTACCACTAACTAGTAAACTATTTCAACACATAAACCACAACTCTACCCAAATAAGGTTAAGGCTTAAAGAGCTAAGGCTGGGTACTTCAGAATCTCATTTAGCGCTTTTCCACTTGGAAAGTAAGTTAAACGCTAGTAGAAATGTTATATATATCAATACTACACAACAAACCTCATAAAGACAGGTACTGAATAGAGTCACATGCCATTTAATGACTGTTACATGGTCGAGAAATGAATCGTTTCATGATTTCATTATTGCACAAACATTATAGGGTGTACTTACACAAACCTAGATAGCATACCCTGGGCTACATGGTATAATCTTTTTTAAAAATTGCCACAGGACCCATGCATTCTCCAGAGAGAGAGAGAGAGAGAGCGAGAGAGAGAGAGGGAGGGAGGGAGGGGGAGGGAGAGAGAGAGGGCTGACTTCAGTGCAGTGCGGTCATGCCGTAATCCTTTTCCTCCATTTCCCTAATCCACCAGGATTTTGGAAAGCACATGCATATACCAGGTGTTATTTTTCATGTGGCTGGAGTTGGGATTCGACCCCCGCTTAGCCATATGGGACCAGGTCTTCAAACACAGCGCTCAATGACTGAGTCATGGGAGTGGCCCTGTACTGTATAATCTTAGCAGACCACTGTCACAGAGGCGGTTCGTCATCAACTGCAAAGTCACTGTGCAGCACATGAACGAACTTCATACACATCCAAATAAATCACTGCTTTTTAACTTGAGGTCAATCAAGCTGAGCTGTTTCCTATAGCCGTAGTAAACTGTGTTTAAGGATTTTTAAGATCTCCCAAAATAACAAGGAAATTAGCCCTTATTTAAATGGATACAGTATTTCCAAAGACTCTCTAAATCACTAAGTTCATTTTTTTTTTTTTTGGAGAGATTTTCACTGTAGGGCGTGTGCGCTCGCCAGACAGACAGAGAGAGACATAGAGACAGAAAGCGAGAAATCACCCCCCAGGGGGGATGGTCACGCCGCAATCCCTTCTCCTCCATTCTCCTCTCGGGATCTTGGGCACGCACGCACACACGCCCGGCGTGAGTTTTAAGCCACCGGGTCCAGGACACGAACCGCGGTCGACTACGTGGGAGTCCAGCGACATAGCCATTACGCTAACTGCTGGTTCCCAAGTTCATTATTTTTTAAAGTCCAACAGGGAACAAATGAACTGTCATTTGTTTCTTATACCACACAAAAATCCTAAAACGAAAATAAAAACAAACTGATAAAATTCTTTTTTTCTTTTTCGTTTTTTTTGGGAGAGGGTTTTTTGTTTGTTTGTTTTGTTTTTGCTATAGGGCACGTGCACTTGCCAGACAGACAGAGAGAGAGAGACATAGAGACAGAAAGCGAGAAATCACCCCCCAGGGGGGATGGCCACGCCGCAATCCCTTCTCCTCCATTCTCCTCTCGGGATCTTGGGCACGCACGCACACGCGCCCAGCGTGAGTTTAAGCCACCGGGTCCGGGATGCGAACCACGGTTGACTATGTGGGAGTCCAGCGATATAGCCATTACACTAACTGCTGGTCCCAAACTGATAAAATTCTTTAAGGTTCCTAATATCTTACAACCTTTCCGAGTTCCTTGCGTCTAACCTAAAATTCTCTCTCCCCATGTCAAGATAAGTGCCATGATGTTACTGTGAATCTCCAGTCTTGGGCTGGGCCATGACGTGGTGGTTACAGTGGCTGCAACCAATACGGCTGACTATACTGTAAGAATCCTAGCACTGGCAGAAACATGCCTGGCACATGGGCGGATGTCCCCAAAAGCCCAAGAGGAGGGAGAAATGGAGGAGATTGTGTGTGACCACTCCTGATGGCAGAGGGGGCAGGTGGTGGTGGGCGTGCTTTCTTGCTTTTCTTTATTTTGTCTCTCTCTGGTGAATGCATGTGCCCTATGGTAAAAATAAAATAAAATAAAAAATAATTATTATAAATAAATCAATCAATAAATTAAATAAAACGAGGTCAACCCTGTAGCAAAGCAGTTAAAACTGTGAACGTAGGGAGCCAGATCTCAAATGACCAACTACAGATAGAATTCCTGTCCTAGGAGTTTGAAAAACACTCTCCATGTGTGCGTGCGAGCCCTAAATCCTGATGAAACAGAGACATCGAGGAAAAAGGACTGCTGCATGATCACACTCCACAGTGGGTTCATGCTCTCTGTTTAGCAATGAAAAACAAAACAAGGTGCTGGCAGGTGGCGTGGTGGTTAAAGATGCTGGACTCCTGCATGGCTATATGCGGTTCAAGTCGTGGACCTGGCAGCTTGCTTTCTCACTTTCTCTTTCTCTGGTTGAATTAAAAAAATAATAATAATTAAAAAATTAAATTAAAATAATTCTTTTTTAAACAAAACAAGAGGCCAGAAGGTAGTATGGTAGTTAAGTGCTAGACTCCCACAGGTCAACTGTGGTTCAAGTCCCAGACCTGGTGGCTTGCTTTCTCACTTTCTCTCTCTCTCTGTCTCAGTCTCTCTCCAATCAAATTAAAATACAGTAATAATAAATAAAATTTAAATAAATAATTCTTAAAATAAAGAAAATAAAACAGATTTAACTTACAATATTCTTCAGTAAGGGAAGATAAAACACAGTAACAAACAACTAGGACATATGCCCTAAGACGACTAAATATGATATACAATTTATGAATACAAAACAAAAAGCAGATCGACTAGAAACCTACAGATTAAAAAAACCTAGGGGCCAACACGTGGCGTGGTGGTTAAGGTGGCTGACTCTCACATGGCTGAGCGTGGTCTGAGTCCCAGACCTGGCAGCATGCTTTCTCACTTTCCTTCTCTCTGTCTCTCTATGGTCAACTTCAATAAAATAAAATAATGACAATGAATAACATTTAAAAAAAAATGTTTTTAAATCTACCAGAGGGGCCGCAGGCCGACTCTGACATGGTCGATAACATTCCGTCCTGACATGGCAGCTTGTGCTGACACTTTCCCTTTCTTTTTTCCTCCCCAAATTAAAAAAAAAAAAAAAAAAGAAAGGATAATAGTAATAAAGAAAATGAAATAAACAGTTCTTTAAGAAAAAAAATCTACTGGAAACTTCTAGGACTACTGTACTGATAATTTGAAACTACTGAATTTCTGAATATCAACCAAACATCACATGAAGGAATTAACCATTTATATGGTGTGAGAGTGATACTGTGGTTTTATTTTTAAATGATTATTTTATTTAACTTTATTTATTTATTTACTCACTCACATACATTTACTTACTTACTTACTTATTTAAATTTGACCAGAGAGGGACAAAGTGAAAGAAAAAGAGTGGGGCAATGTGAGAAAGCAAGCCACCAGGTCCGGGACTCAAAATGCAGTCAGCCATGTGGGAGTCCAGCACCCTTAACCACCATGCCACGCCACCTGCCAGCCCCTGTGGTTTCATTTATAAAGAGTCCTTTTCTAGGGTTTGAATAGCAGCACAGCAGTAAAATACCACTCTGCAAGGCTGACCATGTGACGAGGTTCCAGGTTCACATCCATGGACCTTCCAAGGCCTATATGCACCCACGACCAGGGGCTTGTTGAGGCTGGGGGTGGATCACGGCATCAAGACTTGCTGGCAGTGCTGTCTCTCCCCCTTTTACTCATGAAAGAAGTTTTTTTTTTTTTTTTTTTAAGAATAATTTAGTTTTGAAAAAAAAATTATTATATAATTTGGGGAGCAACAAAACGCATAATAGTTACATCGCTGGACTCCCATGTAGTCAACCACAGTTCGAGTCACAGACCTGGCAGCTTAAAATATGCTGGACACACGTGCGTGTGTGCCTAAAACCCTGAGACGAGAGTGGAGGAGAAGGGACAGCGGTGTGGCCATCCTCCCTGGGGGGTGACTTCTTCCTTTCTGTCTCTGGTGAGTGCACGTGCCCTATAGCATAAATCTCTCATAAAAAGAAAAAAAAAAGAATTATTTAATTTTATTTATTGCTATTATTTAACTTGACCAAAGAGAGTTGGTGGGGGAGTGAAAGTGAGAAAGAAAGTTGGTGGGTTCGGGACTTAAAAAAAAAAAAACTGTCCTTGTAGAGATTATATAGTCAAACACTAGTAATTCGTAATTACCCTAGTGGGGTAGTGTGTACGTTATTGTCTTTCCTACTCTCTTATCTGTAGTACTTCAAAGTCCCCATGTAAGAGGTTAAGACAGACTAGAGTCAGACTGCAGTGACCTTTGGTAAGTCCCAGCCCCGTCGATAAAGAAACGGTATATATGCAATGACAGACTTATCAAGACTTGGAGCTAGGGTTAGTATTTTGAAGGAAGAGATCTGGAGAAAGTTAACTCCCTGTGGCATTGTGCTGGACAGGGGAAAGGCCAGAGAACTAGGGCAGAGACCAAAAACAGGACAGAGAGATCAGGAAGAGGCTGCTGTACTGAGAACCAGGACTGCAGACACACGGCCTGAGATGACGCATAGCCTGCCACAGCACGGGACAGGGACAGCACAGACTAGGGAAGCCACATCTACCCGGGTAACAGGTAAAATAAAGGGCAGAAGAAGGGGGCTAGGGGACTACTATTTGTGACAAAAATGAGGGCAAATACTTAAAATATTCACTATATAAGCACACATTGGTCTAAACTTTACATATTAACTAACTGAACCCACTAGTCAAACATATGAGACATTTTAAAGTTATTTTAAGGACTGTGGCATAATGGTCAAGGTAACTAACCACGCACTTTGAGTCTCGGATCCAAAAGCTTGAAAAACATGCTGGGCTTAAGTCCATGAGTGCCTGAATCCACAAAGGAGGGACAACCGGAGGGGAAGGGACTGCAGTGTGACTATGCCCCAGGGGTGGGTGCCATCTCATTTTCCCCTCTCTCTCCATGAAACAGTTAGTCAGGGGCTTGAGGGATGGTTTTTTTTTTTTTTTTTCCAATTGGTTGAGGGCACTAGACTCCCACATGGCCAATCGTGGTTTGAGTTCCAGACCTGGAAACTTGCTTTCTCACTTTCTCTCCCTCTGGTCAAATTAAAAAATGAATGAATAAAGTTAAATAAAATAATTCTTTAAAAAAATTATTTTTAAAAGGTAAAATGCTAGGACCAGCAGATGGCGTAATGGTTACATTGGTGGACTCGCACATAGTCAACTGCAGTTCAAGTCCGAGACTCAGCAGCTTAAAACTCACACCGGGCATCTGTGCATGCATGCCCAAAATCCCAAGAAGAGATGGAGGAGAAGAGACTGAGCGTGGCCATCCCTCCGGGGGGTGATTTCTTGCTGTCTATCTATGGCGAATGCACATGCCCTACAGCAAAAATTCTCTCAAATAAACAAACAAATGAAAAAATAAATATGTAAATAAATAAAAAGTATTTAAGTCATTTTAACAACCACCCCACCTGGGTAGAAATAATTTTTATCCTTCTTATAAAGCACATGTAGCAAGTATATAACTTGTTCAAAGTTATACAGCTAAATTATACACTCAGTCATTTTGGCTCAAGAATATATACCCCTAACTTCCGCTCTATAATTTACTCTTAATTCATGAAAATTGCTATCTTTAAAGAGGTAGGTAAATACAACTCTATTTCCTTTACGGTCAATCCAAGTGTTTAAACAAATCATGTGAGACTTTAGAAAAACTTACTTAGCTGATGAAACAATCAGTTGTGAATCTTTATAGGCTATCAAGTAGCTTTGATTCTCTGGATTGTGCACTGTTACCTAAAAGCGAAGAACAGGAGAGGATTGGGGCAATTCCTGACTCGCAGTCAAGCACACAGACCACACAATGCCTGCTGCCTCGATGAGAGAGAGATCTTGCCATCACCGAATGAAACATCTTCACAGTCCACAGGTTTAGACTGAAAATCACTCAACTATTACCACGTTACAAAATTAAGCCATCGCTGTCAGAACTATTCGCTCATAACTAATGTTCTCTATCCTATCCATTTGCTACAATGAACTGCCAAGCACTTTGAATTTATCAGAAAAAAAGCAACCCCTACTTACAAACTTTAATGCTTTAAAATTCGTGAGAGTATTCATGTAGCATATGATCTTACAAAGAAAAAATATGTTAGCTAATGCACCTGAAGCACTCTGGGAGAAGCAACGGTTTCAATTTCATCTGTACCAGTAGCTTTTAATTCTCTCTAGAACATTTCTGCCACAGATGTTGTCAGACATCTGACTGGCTGAGCTCTGGTGGTGCAAGGAGCCACTGCAAGAGGCTGGCGTCACATGGGGGAGCCTGCCTTAGGTGCTGACCCACCTGGAACAGGCCACATGCATTACTGTGCACTTAGAACCCTACTACTTGGAAGGCGGGAACACAAGGACCATGGGAAAATCCCTCTTCCTCTCTCATTAAAAGAAAAGAGTAACTTAGTTACCTAATCCCAGCTGTTCAACAATTTCTGTCCCCAAATTCAGTAGCATTAATTTTTCTGATCTAAACTCAACTAGGTTAAGTCATTCATAAAAACCAGACAATGAAACATACTAACGATTCAATAGTTATTCTTGGCACCCAAAAATTGTAATAAAGTAGCGCCTACAAACAAGCGGACTCAAATCTAAATCAAGAAAACATTTATTAATTCAAAAGCTAGCAAAAATCTCCACTTCACTTAACTACCATTTGCTGCAAATGAGTTCATGTATTTAAGCACAACACAGTACTGAGCAAAGAAGAGTCTGGCACACACAAACAAACCTGATAGCAAGATTTCACCTGGACCACTAATCTATCTATATCCTCAAAATATTAAAAGTGTTCATTTAACATGCTCACTCACAGGCTATCTCAAGAATACACTACAATTTTAACATGAATTGCCAAAGGGAAAGTTCTCGAAGGTATTTAAAATACTTGGCAGTCTCTCGCATACAATCAAAATCAAGAGTAAATTTCTCCACATAGCCTATACTTACACTTTCCAAAACTCGTAAACATCTTTCTGCTCCCCACAATGAGGCTACCAGTTTCTCTTCATCTTCATCACTGCTTAAATGATCCACACATTCTTTCACTAGGGGAAAAGGGACAAGTATTAAGATAGTATTTCTTACGCCTCGATACCTATCCCCACCAACAGCAAAGGAGATGGAAGTGTGCTATGAATATGCTGGAACCTCTCTAAATACGACTTGTTCTAGGTTTTATACTGCAAGGTTCTGAAATGACATACTCTATAATTATCTCATTTCCAAATTCAAAGAACAGGTCTTTTCAAATCGACATAATTATTTTTTGAAGTATGTAGACACGTTCTTCGGGCTTGGAATAGCTTACAAAATATTACACGTGTGTCCAACTTACCTTTATCTACGATATGATCCAGACCTCCCAGCAGCCGGAGCTCTTCTTTAAACCAGTCTCCTGCTCGTTTAGAAGTGAGGGATAGTAATGTCTCCATAGCTAAATGCCCTGTCTAAAAATAAGAAGTATCATGAATCAATAGTAACCCTTGGGAGTAATTTTGAGGCAATAATTCTAGAGACGACTTTTATTTACAAAAATTCACTGCATGTTACCAGTAATATTTCCTTTTTTATAGAATATGTACTTTCAAAGCAGAATTGAATTTCTAGCATTTATACCCATCCTCTCTCCACCATCACATTTTCAAGTTATTCAACCTCTACCACAGCATTCATTACAAACTGAGTGGGGACAGGCAGTTTGGGTCTTTCAAAGTCTGGCTCATGGGACCAGCAGTTGGCATAACAGCTGTCGCTGGACTCCCAGAGAGTCGACAGTGGTTCGAGTCCCGGACCCAGTGGCTTAAACTCACACCGGGTGCATGTGCATGCGTGCCCAAGATCCCGAGAAGAGAATGGAGGAGAAGGGATTGCGGCATGTCCATCCCCTCGGGGGGTGATTTCTCGCTTTCTGTTTCTCTGTCTCTTCTTTCTGGTGAGCAAATGTGTGCTATAGCAAAAACCTCTCAAACAAACAAACAAACAAACAAACAAAAAACAAAGTCTGGTTCACTTCGCTCAACCGTACATTTTCTATACTCATCCATTCTGAGTGAAATGATAGGATGTCACTGTTTCTTACAGCTGTACAATATTCCAGAGGCCATATGTGCCTCAGGTTTTCAACTCAGTACAGTCATCAATGTTTGGACACTAACACTGGTTCCATACTATAGAAGTTATAAATAATGATGCAGTAAACACGGACGTACAGGTATCTTTCCAACGGAAGGTTTTCCTATCCTATGGGTCAATGTCAAGAAATGGCATTTCTGGGTCATATGGAAGTTCTATTTATAGATCTGAGAAAACCCCATACTGTTTTCCTCAAAGGCTGGACTAATTTACATTCCCACCAACAGCTTAAGAAAGCTCCCTTTTCACCACAGTCTCACCAACACTTTCTGTTCTTTATTTTTTGATCCTAGCCATTCTAACTGGGGTAAAATGATATGTTATTGTACTTCAAATTTCTATTTTCTTTAGGATGAGATACTTTGAACATTTTTTTCATATGGCTCTTGGCAATTCCTAAGTCTTGCTTAGAGAGTTGTCTACTCAAGTGCCCATTTTAAAGTTACTAATTTTTTATGGGTGAGCTGTCTGATTTCCTTGTACATATAGTTATCTATCCCATGCCTGAGAATTAATTTGCAAATATTTTCTCCCATTTTTAGGGTAGTCTTTTCTCTCTAGTTAATAGTTTCCTTTGTTATGAGGAAGCTTTTTAGCTTGTTATAATCCCACTTGTCTATTTTAGGGACCACTGCCTGTGCTTTAGGGGTTTAAGAAATCTTTGCCTACTCCAATGTCTTCAAATGTTTCTCCTACATTGTCTACTAATATCAATACTTTTGTAATTACAGGCTTTATATTTAAGTCTTTGATCCATTTTGAGTTAATTCTAGTTAATGGTGACAGGGGTCCAATTTCATTTTTCTGCAGATGGATATCTAGTTCTTCCAATACTATTTGCTAGAAAGACTTTCTTTTCTCTAGTGCGCTGTCTTAAATCGTTTATCAAAGATCAGTTTACTGGGACCAGCAGTTAGCATAATGGCTATGTCGCTGGACTCCCACATAGTCGACCGCGGTTCGTGTCCCGGACCCAGTGGCTTAAAACTCAGCCAGGCACGTGTGTGTGCGTGCCCAAGATCCCGAGAGGAGAATGGAGAAGGGGTTGCGGTGTGGCCATCACTCCTGGGGGGTGATTTCTCGCTTTCTCTCTCTCTCTCTCTCTCTCTCTGGTGAGCTCACGCACCCTATAGCAAAAACCTCTCCAAAAAAAAAAAAAAAATCCATTTCTTTGTCACATAAATGCCTCGCCTCTCTATTCTTCTCCTTAATGTCCTTCCTCAGACTCTACTCCGTCATCTGCCCTCTTCATATCAATTTCCTTTTTGCAGTTTTTTATAGTTTTCCTTGTAGAGGGCTTTTACTTCTTGGGTTAAGATTTAATCCTAGGTATCTTATTTATTTTGTAGCTATTGTAAATAGGATTGCTGTCTTTAATTCTTGGAGTCTATTCACTGCTGGTGTATTAAAATGTTACAGATTTTTGTATGTCAGCTTTGCACCCTGCAACTTCACTGAGCTTATCACTTCTAGGAGTGCTTCTGTTGATTCCTGTCGATTTCCCATGTACATAGTCCTATCAAATAGGGACAGTTTAGCTTCTTTTTCTGAATGACTGGATGACTTTTGTTTTGTGCTCTTGTCTGACTGCACTGGCTAGGACTTCAACCACTACTTGTCCTGTTCCATTTTTTTTAACGGGAAGGCTTTTAGGTTTTCCACATTCAGTGTGTTCGCAGTAGGTCTGTCGATATATGACTTTTATTATTTTAAGAAATGTCCCTTCTACCCCAACTGACCATGAAGAGATTTTGATCTTATCAAATGCTTTTTCTGCATCTATACATATGATCATATAACTTTCATCTTTTTTTCTGCTAATGTCGTAAATTACATTTATTGTTTTGTGTGTTAAAGTATCTTTGCATCCCCAATCATAGTATATAATCTTGATATGTTGTTGGACTCGGCTTGCTGGTATCTTGTTGAAATTTATCTCAGTATTCATCAAGGATATTGAGCTGCAGTTTTGTTTTTTCAATGATGTCCTTGTCTTTTGCTATCAAGGTAATAGACGTTTCATAAAATGAGTTTGGAGGACCAGCAGATGGCGTAGTGATTATGTCACTGGACTCCCCCATAGGAGAGTCCCAGACTCAGTAGCTTAAAAACGTAGGCCGGGCAGGTGTGTATGAGTGCCCAAAATGCCAAGAGGAGAAGGGACTGCATCATCGCCATCCACCCGCTGGGGGGGATTTCTGTCTCTCTTTTGCAAGCACCCTACAGCAAAAATCACCCTCCTAGCACGGAAAAAACAAACAAACAAAAAGTTTGATAGAATTCCTTCCTTTCAAATTTTTAGGAATAGTTTGAGAAGAATTGGAGTAAGCTCTTCTTTGAAAGTACTGTAGAATTCGGAAGTGAAACCATCTGGATCTGAGTTTTTCTTTGTTGGAAGACCATTTATCACTGTCCCAATCTCTTCACTCGTTATTCAGGCTTTCTATTTTGTCCTGATTCAGCCTGGGTAATCTGTGCTTGTCCAGAAATTTGTCCAGCTCATCTAGGTTTTCTAGTTTGTCGGCATATGAGTTTTAAAATTGAACCATAATAGTCAAGTAAATTTTTTTCCCCCAAAGATGTTTGCCACAGGGTACAAGTGCTAGCCAGGAAGAGACAGAGAGAGAGGGAAAGTAAGAAATCACCTCCTCAGTGGAGAAGACCATGCCAAAATCCCTTCTCCTTCATTGTCCTCTGGGGATTTGGGGCATGTACATATGCCTACCCGGCATGTTTTTCAAGCTGCCAGGACTGAGGCTCAAACTGTACAGTTGATCATGCGGGATCCAACACCTTAACCACATGCAACCTGCTTGCACTAAAGAAACGTTTTTAACCATAACAGTCCGTGTTCAAGTACTCTATTATTTGCCAATTCTACAATAATACATACTGACGTTATTTTGTCACAAAGGATGTAACAAGTCGTAGTCTCAGGAACATAGCATTTAGATCACCAGCTGTTGGAACCAGCAGGTGGCGTGATTGGGATGCTGGACTCTCACATGGGTACAACAGTTCAAGTCCCAGACCCGGTGGCTTGCTTTCTCATTCCCTTATCACCCTGTCTCTCTCTGCCTGGCCAGATTAAGAAAGAATAAAAATAAATAAAATTTAATAAATATGTCTTTAAAAGAAGAGCGCCAGCTGCCTTCAAAATCAGGATATTCAAGTAATACCATTAGTTACTAGCTTCTTAGTAGTTAACTCCATTTCTTCTCCTATTCACTACTCTTTCCATATCTGCCTAGAGCTGCTTGTCTTTTCTTACGGCTCTCTTTGTTCTTATCAATCTTAAACACAAATCTTTGGTTCTTGTTAATGGTGCGAATTAATGCGTCTCCAACTGTATACTGCACAATTAGCAGCTTCAACATACTCCTGCTATGCCACAAATGACAGACCTCCCAAAAACAATGGTTTAGGACCACCACTAGAGGAAGCACGAAAAGATGAGAGACGTATTTACAAAGAGAGTAAGATTTTTCATTCTCTTTTTATAATTTTAACTACTGCTTTCCTTTGTTAAAACATACGGCCCCACGCAACAGACAACAATTTGGTTTCTACTATAATAAAGGAACATTAAAAATAAAACACTTTTGGGGACTGGCAGTTAGCATAATGGCTATGTCGCTGGACTCCCATGTAGTCGACCACAGTTTGCGTCCCGGACCCGGTTGTTTAAAACTCACGCTGGGTGCGTGTGCGTGCGAGCCCGAGATCCCAAGAGGAGAATGGAGGAGAAGGGATTGCGGCGTGACCATTCCCCCTGGGGGGTGATTTCTCAGTTTCTGTCTCTCTGTCTGTCTCTGTCTGTCTGGTGAGCACACGCACCCTATAGCGAAAACCTCTAAAAATAAACAAATAAATAAATAAATAAAATAAAACACTTTTAGGCCTGCAGATAACATGGAGGTTAATGTGGTTGGATCCCTCATGGCCAACTGAGTGGTTCAACTCCTGGCCCCAGTGGCTTAAAAACCCTCTGGGTACATGTGCACACATGCCAAAATCCCAAGAGAAGAATAGAAAAGAAAGGATTGCATGTGACCACCCACCCTGGGAGGTGCTTTCTCACTTTTCTCTCTGTCTTCTATGAGCACACTCCCGCTAAAGCGAAAACATTTTTTAAAATAATTGTTTATTTAATTTTATTTATTAATTCGTTTATCTTCTTTGTTGGAAGACCATTTATCACTGTCCCAATCTCTTCACTCGTTATTCAGGCTTTCTATTTTGTCCTGATTCAGCCTGGGTAATCTGTGCTTGTCCAGAAATTTGTCCAGCTCATCTAGGTTTTCTAGTTTGTCGG